CAGCATCTTGTGATTAAAATCAAGCTTGGCAAGCTGGTGACAATATGATCGGATTGGTCTACTTCCTGGCAGCCCTTGTCCAGCTTCAGCAAATGTTTGTCTGCTGGAGATGCAATGCCATGCCTATTATGGGCGGCAGTAATGCGAGTGAGATCTATATCTGCGGGAAGATTGTCTGTCTGGCTCCACTCATCCATGTTGTCTGCTGGACAGAGCAGAAGAAGTCCTCAGTATCGAACTGAACATAACCTCCCCCGGGACAACTGAAGGTCAATCTGAGGCAAAGTGAACACCAGAGAGAGGGAGCAAGAAAGAGAAAAACATAGCGAAGAGGGAGGCCCGGGACAGACTACACCTTGTTCTCTATCAGAGCTTGTTGCTGTGAAATTAGCCAATTTTCAGGACACATAAAGTACCGAATGACAACCATTAAAAGCAGAACTACTTCAAAAACTTCTAAACTTATCTAAAATGATCAAATATCAGAAACTAACTAAATCATTTTGTTGGAAATCAGAGCTTGTTTTGCTTTTTTAAACCTCTGACTGATCTACAGCATTAGTTACTGAGTGTTTAATTTCATACATAGTTGTAGAGAGAGGACTGAATGTAGGCCAGCCAAAAATGTAAGCAAAACAAATACGATGTGTGCAATGTGTGCGTGCTTGTACAAGAAAGTAAGAGATAAAAGTGACGGATCAAACAGATGTGGCTCCACTTTAGTAGTTATTATGACAGGAAAGCTTCTGAAGTAAATTACAGAATAAGATTAACAGATAATTGTGATTCATAATCCACTTTGATGAATGTGCTTACAGTTGAAGTGACAGGACAGACCCTGGATACACTGCAATGTGCAGACACAAAACTTTACCAGCTTATTTGATTCCAGTAGGTGCTATTGTGAATTTAATTCTTAATAGCTAAATCAATAATTATTCACATTAGGCAAAGACAAATAGCAACTCCCCACATTGGAAAAGCAAAAAAAAGTTGTTTGAAAGATTTGCTTTATTGTTTATTCAAAGATTAATCAATTATAAATATTGTTGATTACTTTCAGATAATCTACTAATTGCTTCAGCTCTAGGATTTTAGTTTTTTAAACTTCATTTTGTTTATAGGAAATGCCAATAATGTTTTATGTATTGTAGTTTTTAAAAGTTATTTATGTGCACGTTCTTGTACTTCTACTGCTGTACCACTTTATACCCAAGTGTGATATCAATACATTTGATCTTATCTGACAAGTAGCTAAAGTTAATAATTTGTAATTGATCAAACTATTGATCTACACGCTTTTTAATTACCGATTCTTCTGAAACCAAAAAAGCCACACATTACTTTTTGTATATGTTATTGAACTGACTAGCTTTGAGTTTAAGAATACTACTTTGACAAAAAATGAATCTGAATATATAGGGCTCTGGGTAAAGGGAAATCTTTTACTTTTTTTACAGAAAATAACTATCTAGCTCAAATGCTAAGTATAGAGACTGAGCGTATTGGTATTTCTATTTGCTGTTTGAAACCTGAACAAGGTAGATGGTGGCAGTCACCTTGTGGTTAAAAGCAAAACACAAAAACAACAAAAGAGCATTCACCTTCCACAAAATGCAAGGTTAAAACAGTTAAAGCCCCTAACCAGTGGTGTAATGCAGTGAAGTACTTTATTATGCTACTTTATACTTCTACTCTACTACAATTTGGAAGCGTATTTTGTATTTTTTACTCCACTACATTTATTTGACAGAATTAGTAAATAGTTAGTCTACAGATTCAGATAATTAGCTAAGACAGAATATATGTAATATATATATAAATAAACTATATAGGTTAAGATACGCCTTTAAAAGCATTCAAAACAATAATCCGATAATTTAATATGATTTTTTAAATGGGACATTTAGCACAATAAGTAGTTTTACTTTTGGTACTTAAAGTACATTTTGATGACAATACTGTTGTACTTTTACTGAAGTAAGATTTTGGTTGCAGGACTTTTAAGGCTGAAAGGGACTTCACTTTCACACTGTATCATTTTTACTTTTACTTGAGTACTTCTTACACCACTGCTCCTTTCATAATAATTGGTAATGTGGTCAAAGATAGTCCCCCTTCCCAGATAGACTTACAAAGAGAGTTTTCCAAAAAGCTAAAAATGACAAATCACAGCAGCTGGACTCCTTTGCTGCAGTATTTTGGACAATAAGGACTTGTATTTAGTCACTAGTCACTTAAAATTATTTTACACAATTGTGACTACAGTAGATTGATTTTCATGTTATCCAGGACACCAAACCAGGTTGGATAAAAACATTTCAGATAAGTTTTTAGGCTGTCTTTCTAGCACAAGCTAACTTGCTAATGCTAGCTAAGTTTAGGTCACATCAGCATCCGAGCTGGCTAGCGGCAGCATTAGCCACTTAAAAACATGAACTCCCTAGCTTATTATTAAGTACAAGATGTTTAAAACACTTTTCACCTTCTGTGGCGGGGTCCTCCGGTAATGTTTTAGCGGCAGCCCTGGAGACAAGGTATCCCAAAATGCAGAGCACAATCGCAGCGCCTCGTCTCCACTCCGCAGCCCGCATCGTTGCAGATGTGTGTAAAAAATTAAATAAAAAGTCAAAATCTTCTGTTTGTAAAAAACTCACTGCATACACACATCAGCGGACACTCGGTTTATTCCATAAAGGAGGCGACTCCCCATGTTTAGCAGCATCAGCATTCCTGGTTTTTCGCCTGTGAAGCCGTGTTTCCTCTGTGCCGCTGTGCATCCCCTGGTTTTTTGTTTTTTCATCGACGGGTCAGAGAGGAAGACAGCCCCATTGCTCTGAGCTCATGCCCAGTAAACAGCACCAACAGGCGGCTTCTTCCACACGCAGCACCGCTAACATCTGCGGAACAACAGCGCCACCTGTCAGCCAAACATAAGGTTAAACCATAGACTGGTTAAACACGAGAGGATATACTTTATTGATGCCAATCAATAAATCAGAATCAGAAACAGGTTTATTACCAGGTAAGTTTACACACGGAATTTGACTTGGTGTCGTGGTGCATACAAATAAGAATTAAAAACACAGGTAGAGAACTAGAAAAATATAAAAAATAATACAAAATATAGTCAAATATAACAGTATTTACACATAGAATGGAATAAGAAGGAATAACATATGGAATAAAATCGGCAGTAATACAAAATATATTTTTTATTTTGTATTATTACTGCCGATTTTTATTCCATATTTTATTCCTTCTTATTCCATTCTATTGCAATGTAAATACTGTTATATTTGACTATATTTTTACAGTATATATATTAAATAGACAATATACAAATTATGGAATTTTTTCATTATATATATATATATAACAAAAAGCGGTGAGCAGGGTTCAATAAAAACTGTATGTGCAGGTACCAGAGCGGGTATAAGTTGTGCGTGCATACACTGCAAATTGTAGTTGAATAATAATATCAAGTGTGTAAGTCAAAACATGCAAATAAGCTTTAGTCTTGTTAAAAACTGCCTATGTGGAATTTGTGCATACATTTGAACAGAAATCTGAACATTGGAGTAAGCCAGGTTCAATATTCATGTTTAACTTAGTTGACAATAGTAAAAAGGTTTTCTAACGAGGGAACTGTGGAAATATCTTTACTCCATTAATCAGAAAATATTCAAACAAAAAGAGATATAATTCATGCTATCGATGTGAACAAACCTGAGTATAAATAAGAATGACACTGGAGCCTTTGGTGTATAAGTGCAGCTAAAGTGGAGATTTCAAAATCCCAAAACAGACAAAATGTTGTAAAAGTACAAAATATAACTTTATGCATCAATTAATAATAATTAAAATGGAGTGTTAAAAACAATAACTTTAAAATCAATTTGTGTAAAAATACCAAAAAAGCCTGTATAATGTTGGTCCCGTCACAATGTGAATAAACTAATATTGCTAATAATATACCTTTTATAAATGTAAGTCTTCCAAGAAAGCTTTTACAATAACCTTGTTGATTATACCTCTATGACAAAGTTGGATGCAGCTATGTTAAAATATAATAAGTGTGAGAAAAAATCATGAATGAACAATGAAGATATTAATTCATAGTTTTATAATTAACTAGCTCACAGTCTGGTTTTATGTCAGAAAGGTATGAAACTAGTGCTGTATTTATTTACACAATGATATAGAGTGAAAATATTCAAACAGTGTTTAATTTACCTCTAATCCCTTTACTCATTAGTGTGTGTATTTATCAATATGCTACAAAACAGGCAGCCTCCCCTCCTGCCCCCTTTTAGACACCTTCAGCGCCACCTGCAGCCCAATATTAGGGATTTCTTAAAACTTGTGAAATTTGAAGAAAAAAAACCTGCCAGAGAAATATAGTAATACAAGATATATAATTATAGGTTAAGATCTCTAAATAAATACCTGTTTATGTAATTCACTCTGTCAGGTTGCATTCTTCTGCCTTTTCTGGGAGGCGTGTGGCGCAGTGGATAGAGCGTTGGTGTTCGGATCAAGGGAGCACAGGTTTAAACCCCACTGCAGTCAGCATGTCGTTGTGTCCCTGGGCAAGACACTTCACCCCAAATTGCTCCTGTGGGGATTGCCCACAGTATTGAGTATGTAAGTCGCTTTGGATAAAAGCGTCTAACAAGTAACATGTAATGTAATGTTTTCTTTTTTGGAAAACATCAAAGAAGGAATATACATTCCCTGTATGATACGAATAGAACATTTTGGACCCATTGTTAGTATGTCTATGAGTGAAGTAGTCATTTATCTCAACCACCTAGCCTTATTAGCAAAACAATGTTACCCATACAAATGATTTCAACGGTGTTGTGAATCACAGCATTATGTGATTTTATTATATCCAAGCTATTTGTACTGCTTATATACACTGTCATTCACCTATGCCACGTTTTGAGAACCTCCTCCCTGCCAAACAGGTTAGTCTGCTGTTTCCCGTCAACATTAAAATAACAAGGAACCTCTATAACCAGTGCTTCCTATAGCTTCCGAGTTCATTGATGCATGTTTAACCAAGGATTCAATTACAATCTTCCATTTCTTTATTTTGCACACAATCTCTTCATCTGAGAGTCGCAATGATGAAGACCTGCAGCCAAGACGTGAAGCGCTCAGCTCTCATACTCCTGATGATCAACAGCTTCTGTGCCTTTTCACAAAGTAAGAATGAGTTTCAGACTTATTACCTTTATGATATTGCTCACTTCTGTAGAGAATGCAAGAAAGACAGACACAAACCAAATGCTGTATTTATTCACAATTAGATGTCTATATCAATATTTCTGTAATTGTCCTCATTTCCCTTTCTGTTGTTTTTCAGTTCCTCATGAGACTATCTATGTTGTTGGCTGCTTTGAAAACGGGACATCTGAAGTACATTTTGAATTAGATTCTGAGGAGATGTTGTACATAGATTTTGACAAATCTGATATAGTTTACACTGTGCCCAGAATTTTTATGGATGATCCAAGCAAAATGTTTGATCATATGAATGTATTCACTAATGCTAATAAAAACAAGAAGCTGTGTGTAGCATTGCTTCAATACTTAAAAATTGAGGATAAAAATCCCCCAGAAGAAAAAGGTAAGTTAATCTCAACATTTGTCTCTGTGGTGACATGATTGTTTAGATTCTGGTGAAGGTTTTAAACTATCTTTTGACCCCTAAAGACCCCCCTGAGAGCGTCCTCTACCCTGCAGAAGAAGTTGAGTTTGGACGTGAAAACAGCCTCATCTGCTTTGTGAATAATTTCTACCCACCTGAGGTCAGAGTCATGTGGACCAGGAATGGTGTTCAGGTGTCAGAGGGGGTGTCACTCAGCCGATATTTCCCCAATAAAGATCAAACCTTCCACCAGTTTTCTACCCTGACGTTCACACCGAGGGAGGGGGACATTTACAGCTGCACTGTGGAGCACTCAGCCCTGGACATGCCTCAAACAACGATCTGGGGTGATGGCAATATCCAATGAAGCCACTTAAATATCAAAACAATACAATTATTTGTTGTAAACTACCTATATTTGTCTGTAATGACACATTTTTTCTCACGTTCCCGTGCAGAACCTGACATCAGTCATCGCAGTCTGGGAGCAGATGTTTACTGTGGAGTGGGCCTGACTCTGGGCATGTTGGGGGTCGCAGCCGGAACATTTTTAATGGTTAAGGGACACCATGGACACTAATTTCTCTGCTTTAGAGGGATAACACACATAAGATGATGATTGCACATACATTAAATACAAACAATAATCAAATGTATTGTCTTCCCAACCTAAATTTGGCTTTAAGAGATGTATACGTTTCAGGCCTGTTGTGTCTTATTCAAGAATGACTAAAATAAAGAGGTTAATTCTGGAAAATGTATAAAGCTAAAATAAAATGTCATTCACATGCACAAAGAAGCAATACAGTTTAATAGATATGGTATCATTTGCCAGATTATATTTCACTTTAGAGACAATGTTATTGTTGAAAAACAATACAGCAGTCTTCCTGTAAAAAACACACATGTTTAAATCATTAACAAATAATATAAAGGGTATGAGCAGTGGCTAACAGCTAACTTTAAATTGGTATATGTATATATGATGTTACTGAATGTCAACAAGTGGACTCCATTTATTCGTTAAATGGTCTGAATGAAGCTTTGAGTTTAAGTTCTTTATAATTCATTTATTGCCATCTTTGTAATTACATTGTTTATTAAAAACATTACCATGTAACATGCTGTCTGTAGAGTGCACTGCTATCTGTAACTTTGATATATGTTAAAATATTATTGAAGTTTAAATAACACGCCTACTTTTTAAAAATGTAATCAGGTAATCCTATTGAGATCTCTTTGTGAGCACCATGAATACAGAAGAAAAGTATGTGAAGTGATGTACTTGGGCTGTTTTGCAGAAAACCTTTTAAGTATTTAACATTTTGAAAATGTTTTTCTCTTTTTGTTGCTTTTGAGTGCCGCCCTATTACTCCATCGTCAAAAACAGACATGATGGTTGCCTGTAATCGTTGTTTCTTCAGTAAAAAACTATGTGAACTGTTACATTTCTCCAGTTTTATACTTCAGTACAACTTCAAGTACAACATTTCACAGGCAAATATTGTAATCTTGACTCCACTATATTTATCCAACAGCCTTGGTTAGTATTTACTATACGGTTACATTTCACCAACAAAAACAGTATTTAAGGAGTTTAAATTCTACTTCATAAAAGACCAAATCAAAATGTATTGGACTATAATTAATATAAAAATACAATAACAGTATATACATTAACATAATAGATTTCTTGGCCCATTCTCATGCATATCGGATACTTTTACCTTTGATTATTGAAGTACATTTTTCTTATGCTCAAGCAACATTTTATATGCAGGACTTGTAATGGCGGGGCTTTGTAGTGTTGTATTATCTGAACGTCTTCCACCACTGGCAAAAAGAGAAAATGTACCATATAAACACTTGTAAGTTTACAAAATATGAATGGATACTTTGTGCTTCCTGGTGTCTTCTTGGGAATTTAGAAACTCTGAGTATATTGTGAACTATGCTGTGTGTCCAGTACTCATAAAGATGCCACGCATGATAAAGTCGACTTTAGCTGTTTACATTCTAGATTAATTAAAGTGCTTTAAGAATGACTCTGTTCATATATAAGTGCTGAGATCAAACGATTTATATGAGAGTGACAAAATAAAGGTTTCTAGCACACCAACACATGTTAGCATCTGTAAAATTGAAGGCAGTTGTTTGATAAGTGGGACACACCCTCTGTTCCACGCCTGATTGAAAACATGTTGTTGATCACTCTTCTTTACTTCCTTGTGCTTTTAGTTCGAGATCCTTTTACATCCCGATTTTAATTCCTCATTTCTCAGGTTTCACCATGAATATAAGAAGCTTCCTTTCACTGTTATTTATTCTGCTGTTTTATTCAAGAGCTGGTAAGTAACATTATATCAAACCTTCATTTATCTTTTAAGTTTGTGTTTAAAAACAGAACAATGGTAAGACAGACAGAGCCAAACCATTGCTACAACGTACAATGAGAATCCAGCTTATTATTGAAGAGACAAAGAAAAGGACATAAATGAATGCAAATTTCTACATTTTTTAAAATATTGTTGGCTTCATTTTATAGATGCTCTTTTTGGTCCTAGTGCCATCTACTTTACTTCTACTACAATCATTTATTCTATGTGTTTATGCTTTGTCAGATTGCATAATCATGCCTTTTTCCTTATGTAGTTTTCCAGATGTTTTTGAGTAAACATTTAAGACGAAATGAACATCAGGAATACTTATACAGTAAATGTATGTATGTATGTACTGTATGTACTGTATGTATGTATGTATGTATGTATGTATGTATGTATGTATGTATGTATGTATGTATGTATGTATGTATGTATGTATGTATGTATGTATGTGTATGTATGTATGTATGTATGTATGTATGTGTGTGTGTGTGTGTGTATGTATGTATGTATGTATGTATGTATGTCTGTATGTATGTATGTATGTATGTATGTATGTATGTATGTATGTATGTATGTGTGTGTGTGTGTGTGTATGTATGTATGTATGTATGTATGTATGTATGTATGTATGTATGTATGTATGTATGTATGTATGTATGTATGTATGTATGTATGTATGTATGTATGTATGTATGTATGTATGTGTGTGTATGTATGTATGTATGTATGTATGTATGTATGTATGTATGTATGTATGTATGTATGTATGTATGTATGTATGTATGTATGTATTTATGTATGTATGTATGTATGTATTTATATATGTATGTTTGTATGTATTTATATACACATACAACATACTTACTTGTTTTTGTATTCTAGAGTGAGAATCACAACCTGACAAATTCCAAGAACCTCCTCCCTGCCAAACAGGTTAGTCTGCTGTTTCCCGTCAACATTAAAATAACAAGGAACCTCTATAACCAGTGCTTCCTATAGCTTCCGAATTCATTGATGCATGTTTAACCAAGGATTCAATTACAGTCTTCCATTTCTTTATTTTGCACACAATCTCTTCATCTGAGAGTCGCAATGATGAAGATCTGCAGCCAAGACATGAAGCGCTCAGCTCTCATACTCCTGATGATCAACAGCTTCTGTGCCTTTTCACAAAGTAAGAATGAGTTTCAGACTTATTACTTTATTATATTGCTCACTTCTGTAGAGAATGCAAGAAAGACAGACACAAACCAAATGCTGTATTTATTCACAATTAGATGTCTATATCAATATTTCTGTAATTGTCCTCATTTCCCTTTTTGTTGTTTTTCAGTTCCTCATGACACTATCTATGTTGTTGGCTGCTTTGAAAACGGGACATCTGAAGTACATTTTGAATTAGATTCTGAGGAGATGGTGTACATGGATTTTGACAAATCTGATATAGTTTACACTGTGCCCAGAATTTTTGTGGATGATCCAAGCAAAATGTTTGATCATATGAATGTATTCACTAATGCTAATAAAGGCAAGAAGATGTGTGCAGCATTGCTTCAATACTTCAAAATTGAGGTTAAAAATCCCCCAGAAGAAAAAGGTAAGTTAATCTCAACATTTGTCTCTGTAGTGACATGATTGTTTAGATTCTGATGAAGGTTTTAAACTATCTTTTGACCCCTAAAGACCCCCCTGAGAGCGTCCTCTACCCTGCAGAAGAAGTTGAGTTTGGACGTGAAAACAGCCTCATCTGCTTTGTGAATAATTTCTACCCACCTGAGGTCAGAGTCATGTGGACCAGGAATGGTGTTCAGGTGTCAGAGGGGGTGTCACTCAGCCGATATTTCCCCAATAAAGATCAAACCTTCCACCAGTTTTCTACCCTGACGTTCACACCGAGGGAGGGGGACATTTACAGCTGCACTGTGGAGCACTCAGCCCTGGACATGCCTCAAACAACAATCTGGGGTGATGGCAATATCCAATGAAGCCACCTAAATATCAAAACAATACCATTATTTTCTCTGAAATACTTATTTGTGTCTCTAACGGTACATTTTATGTCACGCTCCCCTACAGAACCTGTCATCAGTCATCGCAGTCTGGGAGCAGATGTTTACTGTGGAGTGGGCCTGACTCTGGGCTTGTTGGGAGTCGCAGCCGGAACATTTTTAATGGTTAAGGGACACCATGGACACTAATTTCTCTGCTTTAGAGAGATTACACATAAAATTATGATTACACATACTATACATTACATACAAATGATAATCTAGCAGTGTAGCATTTCCTGCTGTAAAATGTCCTCAACACACACAAAGAAGCAATAGAGTTCATGAACTGTGGGTGTCATTTACATATTTGAATACACTGTACATATGCCAGATTATATTTAACTTTGAAGAGAGACTTTCTCACTTTTGAAAGGTGATACAACAGACTTCCTCATACTGAATTCATGAGCAATAAGAGAAAGCCTCACTGTGTCTGGTATGACCAATAGCTGTTGTTGGTTGGCTAACAACACACTTTAAATAGAGAGATATATGTGTACATGATATCACTGAATGTCAACAAGTGTTTTTGTTGTTGTTTCAGATTCAAAACAAGCTGCTGGTCTGAATAAATTACATTTCTTTATGATTCATTTCTTGTTTTTTCTCTTTTTGCCTTCTTATTACATTGTTGGTTATTCAAACATTACCATGTGACATGCTGTCAGTATGGTTACCTGCTGTTTGTAACTTTAAGAATAAGATATTTATTTTCTCTAATAAAACAAAAACATTGTGATAAACTGCATTAAGTTGTTTTGAGGTGCATTAATACAAAAACTGTGTGAACTGATACAACTTTAAGTACTACATTTCAGAGGCAAATATTGCCTATTATATTGTTTACTCCACATTCTGACGGTAACATTTAATTGACACAAAAACAATATGCAAGGTGTAAAGGTAGTTTAAACTAAGATTAAAACTCATGCTCCTATACATCATTTAAGATTAACATGAACCTTTATGGATCAGCCTAGGGGGAAATTCAGATGTTATTTATTTTTGAATACACACACACAGTACAAATACACACATGCATTACAATACAGGTAAAGGTGCACACATGCACATGCATTATAGAGAGGTGCCAAAGCGAAGAGGCCAAATTCAAGTTTGTTATTCTGAAACAGACTTGTGTGACATAAAAAGGCCAATGCAATGCGTCACACACCCTTTGTACCACACCTGTTTAAAAAAAATGTGGTCGAGCAATCTGCCTAACTTCCTCATGTTTTAGTTCTACATTGATACCCGTCGGCTCTTACATTTTCACTTCTCTCAACATGGGTATGAAGTGCTCGTTTTCACTGCTGTTTCTGATCCTTTTTTTTTCAAGAGCTGGTGAGTTACATTAAAATAGCTGACATTTACTTTTCTAGTTGCTACAACATACAGTACATTAACATCTGTGGCATATTATTGGGGTGTGCAATGCTTTATTCTACATTTTCGTAATACTTGTTGGCTTTGTGTTACAGATGCTCTTTTTGGTCATGGTTTGCTCCACTGCCAGTTTACTTCACCTGATGACGTTGTTTATTTGGAACAAATCTTCTTCAATAAAGTGCTACAAATCCAATACAACAGCACTTTGGGGAAGTATACCGGCTACACAGAGAAAACAAAAGAGATTGCAGAAGGCCTCAACAAAAATCCAAAATTTATAAAAGAAGAAAAAAAAAATGAACTGAAATGCAAGAACCACATCGCATTGTTTTTTGATGTATTTTTAAAACCAGGTGATTGTGTGTATTGAAACTCTGTTAATGCTTTAAATTACATATTGCATAATTATTTCGTAATTATGGGGTTTAAAGGACACCTATCATGCTATATTTAAATGATATATTGTAGGGCCATACCTATATAAGGTATATTTATACGTTTCTGTTTTCAAAATACCAAACAGATCATGCATTTTAGCCATGCCTCATTTCGCTCTATTTGCTGTTCTCCAGCCCTGTTTTTGCAGGGGGCTGATTCTGTGAGCTGCAGCTGACCACGCCCC